GTTCCATTTTGGTTTTTATGGTTCGTTTTTACGATTGATGATTTACTACAAATTACGACAAATGCTATAAAGATGATTATACTATATACAATTCAACTAATCTGTGGGGGTCGAAACCCGCACAATCAAAACTAGTAGAGATTTTGTAGGGAACTGAATTTCTATGGTTAAACCAACGCAAGCAACTGCAAAGGAAATTGAAAATTCGTTCTATTGCTGTTGAGAAAGCTTTGGAATACAAGTCTTTGTGAATTGATTTTCGGATCCCTTTCTCCAGAGCTATGTACATGTATATATAGTTATCTTAAGTCGGCCAGCTATTCCTCAACGATAATGGAAATTTTCTCCTTTCTTCTCTAATTTCCATTCTTTCTAGGTTGAATCGGTTGCTCGTTCGTGGGTTTTGTCCAGTGCTGCTTCGGCCCATCTTCGTCGTACCGCTCGGCCCATCGGCCCAACTTTTCCGCAGCAGGACTTCGGACCAAACCTGTGATCGACATCGGTGCCAACACACGGTTGACATCGGCACCATGTCTCCACATCGGTACCGCATCGCGTCGCGGTATCGGTATATGGCTGTCTCGGTGACATCGGACCACATCGCTCCGCTTCGCTCCACTTCGTTCTGATTTTTGACATCGGTGCCACGCCTTTGACGTCGGAACCCTTGAGCTGAAGTCGACAGGTGACATCGGTGCCTCATCACGACATCGGCCCCCACGCTCGCGACATCGGRATGCTCGTGATGTGCTTGACATRGGCACATATGTGATCTATATGACGTCGGTTGGCGAACCGATACGAACACGATCACCATACTTAGCCTTTTTATGACTGGTTATCTCCAGGGAGAGATTCGACCCCAACAGTTTGTCCCCCAGCTCGGTACTATGGAAATAGTGGCGAAGCGGTTTGTGTTAATCAGGTGATTAGCAATAATAAAAAGCCGTTCAATTAAGTTAATTTCTTGACTAAAGATGACTGGGCCCCGCGAACAGTCTTTTTGCTTTTGTCTGTTGAATTACTTCAGTGTCTTTTGGACTTAAAGTTACCAGTTTTTCTGACGCTTCTGCTACTGCCGGACGTTTCCCAAGAAATAGTAAAGTCATCTTCTCCTATAAATA